TAAATGAGAAAAAGTTAAAGGAGCTCAGCAACATCAAGTATAATAACATTAACATTATAGGGATCCCATAAGGAGAAGAGATAAGGAAGGGAAAAGAGGGACGCCTGGGGTGGCTCAGTCAGTAAAGTGTCTGCCTTCGGCTCAAGTCATAATCCCAGGGTCCTGAGATCGAGCCCCGCATTGGGCTCCCTGCTCAGCAGGGAGCCTGCTTCTCCCTCTGCCTGCCGCTCCCCCTGCTTGTACTCTCTCTCCCTCTCTGACAAATAAATAAAATCTTTTAAAAAACGGGGGGAGTGGGGAAGAAAATTTATTAGAAGAAATAATAGCTGAAAAATTCCCAAATCTGGGGAAGGAAACAGACATCCAGGTCCAGGAAACAGAGAACCCCTAACAAGATAAACCCAGTAGGTCCATACCATGACAAATAACAATTAAAACAGCAAAAAGAAATGATAAAGAATCTTACAGCTGCAATACAAAAACAAACAAAACAAACAAAATACAAGGGAAACCCCATAAGGTTATCAGCTGATTTTTCAGCAGAAAATTTGCAGGCCAGAAGAAATTGGCAGGATATATTCCAAGTGCTGAAAGTTAAAAAACAAACGAACAAACAAATAAAACACAAAACAAAACAAAAATACCAAAAGTACTCTATCCAGCAAGACTACCATCCAGAACAGAAGGAGAGAAAAAGAGTTTCCCAAACAAAAGTTAAAGGAATTCATCACTAAACCAGCCTTATACAAAATGTTAGAATTCTTTAAGTATAAAGGTAAGGCCATAACTGGAAGAAAATTATGAAAGGAAAAAATTTCACAGGTAAAAGCAAATATATAATAAAAATAGATCAATCACTTATAAAGTCAGTATTGAGGTTAAAACACAAAAGTGGTAATAAAATCAATTATATCTACAAAAATTAGTCAAAGAATACACAAAATAAAAAGATATAAAATACAATATCATAACATGAAACATGGAGGAGGAATAAAAATTTAGTGCTTGGAATGTATTTGAACTTAAGGAACTATAACTTAATATAGACTACTATACACATAAGATGTTACATATGAACACACGGTAACCCAAATCAAAAACCTATAATATACACACAAAAAATAGAAAGAAAGCCAAGCATAACGCTAATCAAAGACATCAAACCACAAGGGAAAAGAGCAAGAGAAGAAGAAACATAGAACTATAAAAACCACCAGAAAACAATTCACAAGTATATGCTTATCAATCATTTTAAATGTAAATGGTCTAAATGTTCCAATTAAAACACATAGGATGACTGAATGAATAAAAAAAACCAAGACCCATATGTATCCTGCCTACAAGTCTCACTTCAAACCTAAAAACACATGCAGACTAAAAGTGAAGGGAGAGAAAAACATATGCCATGCAAATGAAAGTGCACAAAGGGTAGACTTCAAAACAGACTGTAGCAAGAAACAATGAAGGGCATTACATAACGATAAAGGGAACAATCCAGCAAGAGGATATAACAAATGTAAATATCTGTATACACAACATAGGAAAACCAAAATATATAAAGCAAATATTAACAGACAGAAACAGAAATTGACAGTAATACAATAATAGTAGGGGCTTTAACACCCCACTTACATCAACAGATAGATTATCCAGATAGAAAATCAATAAGGAAAGAGTGGCTTTGAAACACACGTTAGACCAGATGAACCTGACATATATGCAGAACATTCCATCCCAAAACAACAGAATAAAAATTCTTTTACATGTACATGGAACACTCTCCAGGATAGATTACATGATAGGCCACAAAATAAGTTCCAGTAAATTTAAGAAGATTGAGATCATATCAAGTATGTTTTCCAACCATAACAGTATGATACTAGAAATCAATTATAAGAAAAATCTGGGGAAAAAACACACAAACATGCAGAGGCTAAATAATGTGCTACTCAACAATCAGTGGGTCAACCATGAAATCAAAGAAAAAAATCAATAAATACATAGGGACAAATGAAAACACAACAGTCCAAACTCTTGGGATGCAACAAAGCAGTAATAGGGAATTTTATAGCAATACAGGCCTACCTCAAAAGACAAGAAAATTCTCAAATAAAGAACCTAACCTTACACTTGAGGAGCTACAAAGAAAAAAAAAAAAGAACAAACAAACCCAAGGTTAGTAGAAGGAAAGAAATAAAGATTTGTGTAGAAATGAACAAAATAGAGACTAAAAGAACAATGTAAAAATCAATGAAACCAAGAGTTGGTTTTCTAAAAAGATAAACAAAATTGAAAAAATTTAAGCCGGATTCATCAAGGAAAAAAGAGAGAGGATTCAAATAAAATCAGAAATGAAGGAGAAGAAGTAGCAGCTGCCACCACAGAAATACAAAGTATGATAAGAACATATTATGAAAAATTATATGCTAACATACTGGATGACTTAGTCAAATGGATAAATTCCAGAGACATACAATCTTCCAAAACTGAATCAGGAAGAAATAAAAGATTTGAACTGAACAATTACTAGTAATGAAATTTAATCAATAATCAACAAACTCCCAACAAACAAAAGTTCAAGACCACATGGCTTCACAGGTAAATTCTACTAAATATTTAAAGAAGAGTTAATATCTACTCTTCTCAAACTGTTCCAAAAAATAAAAGTGAAGAAAACTTCCTAACTCATTCTACAAGGCCAGCATTACTGTGATACCAGACATTTTTCCAAACAGACTTAAAGATGACCAACAGACACATGGAAAGATGCTCAATGTCACTCATCATCAGGGAAATGTCAAAAAACAATCCCCCCAAACAAAACAAAACAAAAAACCCAAACACAATGAGACATCACTTTACACCAGTCAGAATGGCTAATATCAAAAGGCTGAGAAACAACAAGTGTTGGCAAGGATGTGGAGAAAAGGGAACCCTGGCAACTGTTGGTAGGAATGCAAACTGGTGCAGCCCACTGTGGAAGATAAAGTGGAGTTTCCTCAAAATATTAAAAACAGAAATACCCTATGATCCAGTAATTCCACCACTGGGTGTTTATCCAAAGAAAAAGAAAAGACTAATTTGAAAAGATAGATGCACCCCTATGTTTATGGCAGCATTATTTACAATTGCCAAGATCTGGAAGCAGCCCAAGTGTCCATCAATAGATGAATGGATAAATATGGGGTATATATATATGTGTGTGTGTGTATGTGTGTGTGTGTGTGTTATTCAAACATAAAAAAAGAATGTGTTTTTGCCATTTGCAACAACATTAATGGACCTAAATACAGAGGCCACTTTTAGGCAAACAGGCTGTAGCAATGGGATGAGAAAAGGACCACATGGACCACTTGGATGACTACAGATACGCCCATCAGGAACCCAACCCACCTCAAAACATCCTTAGGCCCTAGCTGACCAATGGGCTACTTACAACCAGGCAGAGTTACCAAAAAAGGGAGAATTCCATATGTCGCCATACCTCCTCACCTTCCGCCTCATGGTAGACAAGTGGCCCTCACCCATTGCCTCATGGTAGACAACCTGTCCTCTACTGTCCTGCTCACCGCTCCCTTGTGGGGTATTCAGTAAACTTCTATCTCCTTTGTTCTGCCTTGGGTGAATCCGTTCACCTCCCTTGCCAGCAGCTTCCAGCTGACCATTGCCCCACATTTGGAGGCCCCCATTTGATTCAGAGACAGTCCAGCTGGGCACCACACTAGAGCATATGACACCAAATGAAATAAGTCAGAGAACAACAAATACCATAGGATTTCATTTATATGTGGAATCTAAAAACCAAAACAAAGAAGGAAAGAGACAAAAAAAAACCCTGATGCTTAAGTACAAAGAACACTTGCTGGTTGCCATCAGGGATGTGGGTGGGAGGATGGGTAAAATAGATAAAGAGGATAAAGAAGTACAGAATTCCAATATAAAATAAATAAGTCACAAAGATGAAAACCACAGCATAGGGAATATAGTCAATAATATTATAAAAACATTTTATGGTGACTTATGATTGACTACACTTATTGTATGAACACTGAGTAATGTATAGAATTGTCAAAGTAATATGTTATACACTTGAAATTAATATAACATTGTATGTTAATTATACTTCAATAAAAAATAAAAAATATCAATGGTCACTATTTCCACTGTACAGTTTTACAATATGACTTTTTAGTTATCCAAACTATGGCACCAATTAGCTTGCACAACAATGCCCAGCATAAAACCGATGTCTAGCATACAGGAGATAGTCATACCATCTTCTTAATCTAGAGCAGTCGATCCTACCAATGCATTCATTAATTCAACTAATATTTAGAGAGTGCTTATTATGTGTTCAGCATGTTTTATAAGTTCTGGGAATATAATGATGAGCTAAAACAGGCATGGTCCCTGCCCGTAGGAAGTGTAGTAACTAGCAGGTGAGAGGACCTCCACCGGGTAGAAAATACAGATGTGTTTGGCTGTCAACTGTGTGTGTAGAGTTGTCAAATACGATCTTTAAGATAAATAGAGTTCGAAGTTTTACTCTGTGCCCAATATATATTTAACTTTAGAGATTCATTATTTACCTTAATTATTCCAAAGAATAAAAGCAGATAAAATGTCTTTTCTATCTCATTCTTTGACTTTTATAAACACTGAGGAACATTTTGAAAATGTGAGGACTCTGGGTGTAATGCCAATCTTCAACACTTGTTCTCCTGTATTTAAACAGGTGTACCTCAGAAGGACGGCAACTGTGGGAAATGACAAACCTATGTTTACCTCTCAGTCAAGTCAGGCTCTTCGTGCATTCTCTCAGGGTGCACATAAACGTTTATGTCACAATTGCTATCTTTCAGACTGGGTGGATCTACTCCTATTACCTTAGAGAATCACAGGATAAAAAAAAATATACAGGGTCTCACAAATGACAGGATATTATTAGCTCAAGGCAAGGCCAAAGACAGGAGGAGGAGAAGAGGTCAGAGAACACTTACTGGTAAGTGGTGGGGCTGACATTGATGCGCCGAGGGTGACTTCCTGATTCGAATTTGCTTGCCAGAGTGACATTATTTCCAAACAGGCAATATCGTGGCATTCTCACCCCAACAACTCCAGCGAGCACGGAACCCGAGTGAATGCCTATCCTCATCTAAAAAAGAAAAAATGAAAAGGATATATTTATACTTTCTTTTGGTATGCAGTTATTTTAGTGAAAGGTAATTTTGTAAGCCACTGAACTTGGATCTCCTCAAAGACAGGAACTGGGTCTTGGTCATTTTTGTGAGCCTCATATCTGGATCATTACAGAGACAATGAACATGAATACCGTGGAATAAATGAATAAATTAACTATAGGAAAAATTATGTTTAATTTGCTACATAAATCCAGCTATATTACAAGTCAAATCACATTTCTTTTGGACAGAACATGTTCTAATATATAAAAGATGGATTATTCTCCTGCCAGTTATTCTTATATATGACCCTATTTTCCTTTCACAGAATTAAGCACTATTATAAATTAAATATATTTCTGTTTATTTTGTTTAAATGTTGGATTGTCTTATGAGAGAAGGATCCATATCTATTTCCTTACTGCTGAATATTCAGTACTTAGTATTGTACATAGAGCAAAGCAGGCCCTCAACAGTAAATGATAATTGTTGATAAATTGTCAAAATTCTTCAATATTATATTAAAATGAAGTTATAGAGAATTTAACCCTTGAGTCAGTCAAGAAGTGCCTATTGAAAACCCTGGAAAATAAGTGCTGTATATTTTACTCTGTGAATCTGATAAATATTAGTCTGGCCCATGCTTTGAAGGAGCCCTCAATGTGCAGCTGATATACACTTAAATGTGATTACAGCAATGCAGTTGCTTCTACACAGTCTACACCAAAATAACTGAAGCTAATGTTGACCCAGTGGGGAATGATATCCTTAGTCCTAGGGGAATGTGGGTGAGAAGGAAGAGATCTGACCCCTAGATGCCTACTACATAAGTAAAGTATCACTCTTCACTACCATATCTGCTTTTGCCCCTGCGGTTGTGAAGACAAGAAGTTATTCTGTGACTAACCTTTGTCATGGACTGGAGAGTTCGGTACTTATCAACTATTAATAAGACAGGCTGAAACCAATGTGATCCAGCTGCAACTCTTTTTTTTTTTTTTTTTTAAAGATTTTATTTATTTGACAGAGAGAGATACAGCGAGAGAGGGAACACAAGCAGGGGGAGTGGGAGAGGGAGAAGCAGGCTTCCCGCCAAGCAGGGAGCCCGATGCGGGGCTCGATCCCAGGACCCTGGGATCATGACCTGAGCCGAAGGCAGACGCTTAATGACTGAGCCACCCAGGCGCCCCCCAGCTGCAACTCTTAATAAACCTCTTCATCTACTTTTTAAAAAATGATCCTAACATTTATTTGGAAATTCAACATGCTAGGAAGAACCAAGGTACATTTCACAAAGAAGAAAGAATAATTTCCCTATTAGTATAAATATATCTAATTAGTGCATGGATATCATAATACTGGTGTATAGACAGAGAAACAGACTAAGAGAAGAGATAGGACAGGAAGACTTCCATGCATATATGATTGGTATATGATAGAGTTGGCATTTCAGATTAGTGAGAAAAAGATGGTATTTTCATTAGGATGCTCTGAATCAACTCTATCTTTCTGTTGAAAAACAAATTCCAAGTAGATTAAAGATCTTAATGTAGAAGGCACAACTTTACAGCTTTAAAAATAATTGTTTTAAATAAGGTAAAGGTCAATGTGCAGTATCAGTAATACTCTAAAATACAGAAACCCTAAACAGTACACTTTTGTTAGTCTCTCAGTAATAGTTTCCAGGTGAGTGGTCCAGATTGTCAGGGACCAGTTCCTTATCATCATGTTCCTCCTCATGCTTGTCACATATTCCTTGTTGGGAAACTTGAAGCTGAAATCAGGAGCACCATCATGTTCTAACTCATGATGGGGCAAGATAGACCCTTTCTGTCCAGGGGAAAAGTCATGATCGCCTTTTCAGGTGATCTTCATTCCTTTGGGAAAAGCCAGATTTACATCTGCTATCATTTTCCTTCTAAAAGAATTTCTTAAAGAACTTTTGCACTATAGGTCCACTGATGATGAATTCTTTCAGCTTTTGTATGTTTGAAAAAGTCTTTATTTTGCCTTCCTTTCTGTCAGATATTTTCACTGGGTTTAGAATTCTAGGTTGATAGTTTTTTCCCCTATCCTTTCCGTACTTTAGTGATGTTGCTCCATTGTCTCCTCCTTTGCATTGTTTCCTATGAAAACATTGCTGCCATGCTTATCCTAATTCCTTTATATGTAATAGATCTTTTTTCTTCTGGCTGCTTTAAGTTTTTCTATTTTTTGCTAGTTTTGCAAAATTTATTTATGATTTCTCTTGATGTTGTTTTCTTCATGTTTCTTATGTATGGGGTTTGTTGGGTGTCTTGGATCTGTTGGTTTATAGTTTTCATCAAATTTGGAAAAATTTCACCTATTACTTCTTCAAATATTTTTTCTATCCACCTTTCTGTTTCTCTCTCAGAGACTCCAAATACATGTCTATTGGGATACTTGAAGTATTTCCATGGTTGACTAATTTATTCATTTAAAAGATTTTTCTGTTTATTTTGGATAACTTCCATTGTAATGCCTTCAAACTTACTAATCTTTTCTTTTGAAATGTCTAATCTTTTGTTAACCTCATCCAGGGCATATTTCATCTCAGACATTGGGATTTTCATCTCTAGAAGTTCAGTTTGGAAATTCTTTTTCTTTTTCAGGTATCAAATTACCTTTTGAACATATGGAATACAGTTAAAATAACTGTTTTAATATTTTGATAATTCTAACATCTGTTGGTCTATTCAGTTTTGATTGGTCTTTCCCATCATCATGGGTCATATTTTTCAGCTTTACAGTATGCTAGTAATTTTTGGTTGGATGTTAGGTATCATAAATTTGACTTTGTTGAGTGCTGGATATTTTTTATATTACTTTAAGATTTTATTTGAGAGACAGAGAGAGAGAGCATAAGCAGGGGGAGGGACAGAGGAAAGGGAGAAGCAGACTGCCTGCTGAGCAGGGAGCCCAATGCGAGGCTTGATCCCAGGACCCTGAGATCATGACCTGAGCCAAAGGCAGACGCTTAACCCACTGAGCCACCTATGTGCCCTGATATTTTATATTCTTATAAGTATTCTTGAGTTCTATTTAGGGATGCAATCAAGTTACTTGGAAATAATTTGTTTTTTTCAAGTCTTGCTTTTTAAGATTTGTTGGGCAAGACCTGAGAAGTATTTCATGTAGGGCTAGTTTTTCCCCACTACTGAGGCAAGAATACCCTGTACCCAGTGCCCATGATTTAGGAGGTTCTCCAGTCTTCCTGATGGGAACAGGCACTTTTTGTCCAGGTACTGTGTGAGTGCCAGGAACTTTTTCCTCTAGTCCTTACAGGTGTTTTTCCCTGTTGGGTTCAGGTAGTCTTCTCACACACAAACAATAACCCATGCAGAACACAGAGGAGGCCCCTTGCAAGATCTCTGGTGGTGTCTGTGCAACTTTCTCCTTGCTTGTACTCTGTCTGTGACCTCTAACTTCTTCCATCTCCCCAGACTCTCAGCTCCATCTCTTCCACTCCGGGAGTTTGTTGGATGCCTCCTGGTTTGCTTCTCCTTGCACCATAGCCTGGATGTTCTCAAAGCAATATACCAGGGAAATCATATGTCTCATCTTATTTGTTTCCTATCTCTCAGGGATCACTGTTTTCTACTGCCTAGTAGCCAGTGTCATAAACACTGTTCTACTGTATTTTTTCTCCAGATTTTTAATTAAGGTAGGAATATAAATCCAGTGTCTCTTATTCTATATTAAGTGGAAGCAGAAATGAGATAATACTTTTTTTTTTTTTAAGAAACCTAACTTTCTGAAAAATGTAGGCCTGTTTCTGATGAGTGACTGTCTATTTGGGTTTAAAAAGGTAAAAAATAAATGCTGAATAATAATAGTCTTTTTAATCAAGATAATTATAAACCACCTTTCTCTAAAGTTAGCAAAGCATTCTGCAATAATATTATATTTCTTTAGGATTTTTTTGCTTTTATAAGGCCTATTTATATTAAACTCCCTTGTGAAAAACACCCAGACCTCAGATACAAAGATTATCAGTTTGGGCGTATGATCACTGTACTGATCCCTTTAAGCAGGAGGCAAAAAGAAGTGAGTATCACATTGACACATCTCACGGCCTCTTTATTCTGTGCTTTTTGTTTGAGAAAAAGACTCTACACCCCACACCAACTATATAGAAGGTTTATATGGTTCTACCAATGCCTCCTTTCAAAAGACCTGAGGGTTTTTTTTAAAGCAAATTATCAAAAGGAGAATTATTATAACCTGAAAAATGTTGGCAATAAAAACCCTGATATCCTTGGGAAGGGGGGTGGTTGGTGGATGGAGAAATGGTCATTTAAAAAAAATTATCTTTTAGAAGGCCACTTAAAACATGCACAAAGATATCAACAACCACACAAATAGCACAAATTTGTTGTCATTGTCTCTACCGTATAATAAAACGGAACTCAGAGAATTATTTAATCTTGGAAGTAAGGAGATATCATTGGGAACTTACAAACTGAATCATCAGACTGTTCTATTTTGCATTTCCTTTGACAACTTATTGAGATTTCCGAGGAATTATTGCCTCGGAAATAAATGATTGCCTCGGAAGTAAATGATTGCCTCCCTCAGAGTATGTCAGGAACATCTAGAAGTTACACAAAATAGTTGCATTTAACGCTCAAGGAGGAATTTAGATTCACTTTGAAAGGATTTAACATTATTTAAATAATTTAACCAGTGAGTCACATTGGCATCTCTCTGCCCAGTATGTCTTAACTAAAGAGAGGTACCATGCACTAAACTGGTGGTTGTTAACGGGGGACATTTGCGTCCTTCAGTCAACATCTGGCAATGTCTTGAGACATTTTTTATTTTCACAACTGGGATGGGGAGCTGCTACCGGCATCTATTCAGTCGAGCTAGAGATGCCCAGGACAGCTTCCCCACAGCAAAGATTTTTCCAGTCCAACGTATAAGTAGTGTGGAGTCTGAGAAACCCTGCACT